CAACAAAGCTTTGAACAACACAGTGAAATGACAGGTTTTGTCATCAGGAGGCACACTCTTTTATATTAATTCATTTTTTATTGAAAGATCCCATTTGTAAATTAGATTACACATTGGGAATAAAACTTCTCCCATCCTAATCAGAAACAAACTAGTCATCTGCACAATGTTGCATGCGATTTTCTAAACCTAGAATTTATATTTTAAAGAATTTTAGCAATCTAAATTTAATAAGGAAATAATCTTTTCATCACTATGCCGAAAATATTAAAAAAATATAAGAATAATATAACAAAATGTTTTTTAAAGTCTATTTTTTACCTAATCATGCGACGATAATTAAAACTGCATTTAAAAAAGGTTAAATTAAAAACATAATGAATCATGAATAGCTGCAAAAAAAAAAAACACAATAATTTTATTGAAAAAATATAACCTTAATCTCAAAAATGGTATTTTTATTATATTTTAAATTTATTTATTTTAATAAAAAATTATTAAATTTATTTCTCTTTTCTTTATTAAAATTTTAAAATGGTAATTTTATTTTTTAATAATTTTATTTTAATCTAAAAAAATTCCCGCAGAAAAGTGCAGGCCATACAGCTCAGCTAGTACGTACAATACATAAGAGAGAATTTGGGGTTCCAGTCATCAATAAATATTTAAACAGTTGAATTCTTGAGCCCATTTAACCAAAATGTTCATTACAGAATTCAAATGGTAAATCTAGAAATAAATTTTCAATTCAAAGCAATTCATATATTTCACATGGCAACTTTAGCTTGAAAGTCATAGTAAGAAACATGTTTTACGAAATGAAAAACGAGTTATTTATTTATAGATATCCAATCGATAACCTTTGAAGAAAAGGAACCATTATTATTATTATTATTATTTATTTTTGGAGAGGGTGGGGGGGTGTTTCTTGGAATACTGGGCATAGTTTCTGCTCGCTCCTTGGATCCCTCGTTCATAGTAGTTAATTACTTACGATCCTCTAAAAGAAAATGGTACTGCTAATTATTCATGAGATCCCACAAATCAAAAAGAAAGAGAGAAAGAGAATGGGATAATATCTGAATTTTGGATCTTCTAATAAAAGCAAGCTGATTTGTACAATTCTCATGTCCCTCTGGTGTTTACAATTATGAGGACAAACCTGCAGGACTGCCTTGCCTTTCCTTCCCTCTCAATCCTCCATCATCCTGATATTATTTAACAGCACAGTGATGAAAACGGTGATTAGAAAAGAAGCCTTGTTCAGTGTCTCATGCATTCAGTAGGATCTGAAATTAATTCTTTGGGCGCGCGCGCGCGCGTGTATATATATATATATATATATATATTTGACGAAGCTTCTTTTAGAAGAACCTTCATGCAAATTAAGCTTATTTGTTTATTAATAAATGTTTGCCATCGATCCTCATATGCTTCATATCAGTATTACCTGGCAAATGATGCAATCATTTAGAGATTCTTCACCAGCTAGCCCATTATTAATTAGATATTGGCTATCATCTTCTTTCGCCACCCTTTTCAACTTAGATGCTTAAACAAGGGCAGAAAATCCCTCATTACAATTAGAATTAGTTGAGATATTGCATTCTGGATATTGGCAAGTTCTTTTTCATAATTTATATCTTTGTCCTGCTCGTAACTCATCCTAGCTATGGTTACTTAATTTTCATCTGTTGCCAACTTGAAACTAAAATGCCCACAATTGATCATTATTATTTTTACCATATGCAGAGTGGGGAGGGGGATGCTTCATCTACCCTCATTTGCTTAGTAGGTTCACAGTTTAAATCCAATGTTTTGCAAACTAATTCCATATGTCAAAGCTTTTTATACCGCGTTAGAAGCAGTAACGGTAAAAAGAAAAAAGAAAAAAGAAAAACCCTTTAACCCACCCATATCAAGCTTCAAATTTGAATGGAATACTCCGTCAAATATATAGCATTTTCTGTGCATAAATGGCGCCTCAACACTCACGAACCCCTAACAGTATGCTTTTAATACGACAAGGCATTTTCTTCAACATTTACTAGAGCTTATTATTCGCCGAACAATGGTGACGAACATGAGCAGTGCCTTCCCAAAGAATGTTCACAGAAGAGATTAATTAATTGAACCACGCACCTAATAAACTAAATTTGTAGCCCACTTAATCAGATGAATTTTTTTTTTAGAAAGGACCAAATGAGTAAATCGTAAATTAATTTTAATGAGACATTTGCAATTTGCATGGAAAGAGAGCTTATTATTAATTAACTCTCTAATTAAAATAATAAAGCTCTTACAAGTGAACAGCATCTTAGCTAGGGATCCTTACACAGACGGGCTTTCCAAAGTAATTAAATAAATATTAAACAAAAAAAAATCCCTTATAATTTAATCTGTGAACCGGCCATGCTCGCCATTGATTCCAGAACCGATGAGAAAGATGATAAAAAAATGGTTCTCGAAAAGCAGATTCTCCATGCAACTGTTGAAAATTTCTCGAGGTTAGTTATGCTGTAGTATTCGGATTTATTAAACAAGTAGCTAGAAGGGTCAACTCTTTTAGAGTTTAACTTTTCTTGTCCGAGCTTCTACCCTAATCAATGGACCGATATATGCATGTGGAATCCTATCCTAATCCTCATTTAATTATGAAAGAAAGGAGTCGTAGTTATAATTTTACGTGAAAAGGTGGGCATTAATTCGTTCATGCAATGGCATCCTTGCATGCATTAATATAAAACAAATAAATTAAATAATATTTCTTTCATGCATCACAGCAGATATCTCAGTTTGGCAATTCATTAAGAACAAAAAGGTCTATGTAAGCTATGGTTGGAATATATTTATTTATTTAATTAGAGAACTGGTTAATTTGTCAGAAATAGAGCTGCAATCAAGTTAGTTGGGATGTGGTTAAATATCTTTCGTTTAAGTGGACTTTCTTAGGCTGATTAACTGCTCCTTATATTTAAATTAATCTTAACAGCTGTACTGTTGCAGCGGAACTCGAGCAATTGAAAAAGAAAAAAGAAGAAGAAGAAGAAGAAGAAGAAGCTGGAAAGGAGGCCTTGGAGCTCGAGACGAGGGAGAATCAAATGCATGCTTATGGGTTCGAAGTCAGAATTAAGTCCTGACACGATATAACACCAGCAGTACTCCTGATTCCTGAAGCGTGAATTTGAAGTTAAAAAATCATGCCAAAGAGCACAATGATCTAGTGGCTCAATTTTGGTCGCCTGTAATTTTTTTTTATTTAATTTCACTTTTTCTATGTCGGGAAACTTCTGCTGGCAATTTTGTAAAGCTCTACACTTGCGTCTCTAATTTGTACTCTGATGTTCTAATCAAACAAACGACTAAAAAGGGAACATAAAGAAATATTCGTACACTAATCACGTGAAGTTCTTCTCCCCTTTATGGCATTGATTTGTTCACGCCTGTTCATCAATATCTTTTAGTTTTACCCATGAACGGGAAATGGCTTTATTAATGTATTATGATGTGTGATTAATAAACCTTTAAGGTCTTAGCCCATGAGGCAGTGAGAATGCGAGAAAAATATTTCTCTTTTGATGTGAATACATGCATCAAATCAAGGATAGATGATTCTCTTAAAACTCGTTTGAAAAAGATTTTGATATATTAGTATTCATGCAGTTAAAATAAAAGAAATTAATGCATCATTAGGGGGTCAAAACCAGACCGATAAATTAATCACTACTTCATTATATCAATAATTAATTCTTCTGTATCAATTACCAAAGGAAATCTTCCCCAATTAGACGTGCATTATCCATGGAAAGCAAATCTATCATAAGGGCATGGGTTAAATGGGAAGGCTTTTTTATTATTATTATTATTTCTTATCAGATATCGTCTCAAAATCATAATTTGCCCCCCTTGTAGTCCAAAAGGATTGAAAAGGGGATATATAGTTAACTGCAAATGATGGGCATAATGAGCAAATAAAACGCTTTATTTATAGCAGCCAAGTTAATCTATAAAAAGGATTGCACATTTTAAAAGCTTTACCCTTTAAGGAGGAGGAGTAATTAATTATGGCTGGGCCGGGGAAGAAACATCGATTAAAGCACTTGTAGAGATACATAGATTTTGGCTTTGGAAGTTCAAGCCATAGGGCTCCCAAGGAAGGTCCATGGGGATTGGGAAGGCGTGCACCAACAATGCTTATGATTTGAGTACAGGAGATGTCTTTGAAAAACACAGCAAACAAACCCTACCTTTACTCACTTTTTGCTGTCTTTTAGCGCTAGAAGGTAGGATCCTTGAACATATAAAAAAAGAAAGAGCAAAAAGAGGCTGGAATTCGATCTTTTGGATTGTTTTAATCTTTTTTGTAGCTTTGTTTGACCTTTCATCTCTCTCAAAATCATCACACACATTTCTCTATAAACATGGATGAAAAGATACATGGCTAGTATACTGATCTCTCTATGCGTTGTCTTATTTGCAGATAATGCAGGTTGAGAAACAAAGCAATAAATGACAATAACAAGAAGTATATAAATGGTTCAAAAACAATACTGATTGAAAAATGAAGTTGAAGCCTTCTCTGTGACATGGTTTGCATGTTGCGGTTATATGTAACAGTCAACTAAAGATGCTTTCATGGCGAATACTATAAACTATCAGCAGGGCAGGTACGTAGCTGTTGTAGTGGATTTAGACAGTGTTTAATTGGAAGCAGGTGTGCCATTTCCTGAGTCAAATGACATGATATCGTCACTGAAAAATTGCTGAAGGTTTACAAATCGAGAGGAACACATAAACAGAGGGGGAGAGAGAGAGAGCTAAACCCTTCCCTACATTGGGTCACATTGAATAATCACGCCCCCAACACCTTATTATCACGAATCCATGTTAGAGGAATCATGAAAGCTGACAAACATAATAAAACTAGACAAGCCCTTTATTTTTTTTTCCCTCCCATGCTTAAAAAATTAATATGCTTTAACACTATTAAAATGCATCCTTTCCAGCCCTCTAGCCTCCCACTTCAAACTCACCACTCCCTCTCTCTCTCATCTCTCTCAACATGGCCAACCTAGTAACTTCATTTATGCTATGGTTATGCTTGATATCATATGCTTACACTACTATTCATGCTGCTCCAGAGTGGCCTCGAGGGAGATCGACCAGGTTTTATGATTTCAAGGTCTCTCTTTTACTCTATCCATGTATACATACATGCATGGCAATTCCATACTTTCTACTTGGATGTTTCCATATAATATTCACACACCATTCCCCATTTCTTTTTTCTTCTGTTCTTTTGATTATGATAAACAGATTCAAACGACGACAGTCGATAAACTGTGCAACTCTAAGCAAATCGTGACAGTCAACAATATGTTTCCCGGACCAGTTGTTTATGCCCAACAAGGCGATAAATTAATCGTAAAAGTTAGTAACGAGTCACCTTACAACGCCACTATCCACTGGTAATTATGCTTACTCCATATAACTTTCAATGATACACGTAATAATCTAATTAATTATATTGCGCAAACTTATCGATTATCAGTCGTTGTTTAATTGTTTTAAATTCTTGGTAAAAATTGGCTATGTTATAGGCATGGAGTCAGGCAGATACTATCATGCTGGTTCGACGGACCTTCGTATATCACCCAGTGTCCGATTCAACCTGGTCAGACTTTCACATATGAGTTCACATTGGTGGGGCAAAAGGGCACCTTCTTCTGGCATGCTCATGTTTCCTGGCTGAGGGCCACAGTTTATGGTGCCCTGGTCGTATATCCAAAGCCTGGGATCCCATACCCATTCAAGTACCCATACGAAGAGCATATTGTAATTCTAGGTACATCATTAGCCTCTAATTAACCATCACTGTATAATTGATTACTTCATCATGCAAAGAGCACTGCTAATCAATGATTTACACTTGCTAGTTTACAGATTTTCTCTTAAATCGTTATTTTAATATTTCCATCATTGCTTGGATTTTTGTTTAGGGGAATACTGGCTCCAGGATATTGTACAACTTGAGCGCCAAGTCGTAGCAAGCGGGGGAGGTCCTCCACCAGCAAATGCGTACACCATTAATGGTCATCCTGGCCCTAACTACAATTGCTCTGCTAATGGTAATTAATAAGTTATAGATTTAATTGTTTCAATTTCCTATCAAAAGGGTTGGTTAAAAGTATCTTTATTATACTGGAAAAGAATTATGAAGAACAGCAACAACCGAACAAAGGAAAAACCCCTTAATTTTCCCTAGAGCTAACAGTGACGCCGTAAGACAATTAGCTTCAACCAAATAATATTACATGAGACAATAAGTTCATTCAGAGAGTTGGAAGCAGTCAAATTCCTAGTGCATTCGTCAGCAAGAAATGACTTCAAGGATTAAATTAAATCATGAAACATTCAAGTACGCAGAAAAATATTAAATTCATGATGATGAGAAGTCTTGAAAACAAAAGAATATCGAACACATCGATTCTTTTTTACCAGCTCAGCTATTAACTATTTCATTACTATATTACATTTAATCCTGCTTTTAAATTTGTTACGTGGTAACTATGAAGTCGTAATACATTTCAGATGTGTACAAGATCGATGTGGTCCCTGGGAAGACCTACTTGTTAAGGCTGATAAACGCAGGCTTAAACATGGAGAACTTCTTCGCTATTGCTAATCACAAATTAACAATAGTGGAAGCCGATGCTGAATACACAAAACCATTCACCACAGACCGTGTGATGCTCGGACCAGGCCAGACCATGATCGTCCTAGTTACCGCTGATCAGACAATTGGAAAATACTCCATGGCCATGGGACCTTATGTGTCAGGTCAAAACATTCCATTCCAGAATATATCTGCAATTGCGTACTTCCAGTACGTGGGAGCAATGCCTAACAGCTTATCTTTACCAGCTAGATTACCTAGCTTTAACGACAATTTGGCTGTTAAGACAGTCATGGATGGCCTAAGAGGCCTAAACACTTCCGATGTTCCAAAAGAGATTGATACCAACCTCTTTCTTACCATTGGGATGAACGTTAACAAGTGTACGTCCAAGACACCACAGCAGAACTGCCAAGGCCTAAATAATGGGACAATGGCAGCTTCTATGAACAATATCAGTTTCATCAAGCCAACAGTTTCAGTTTTGGAAGCTTATTATAAAGGAATTGACGGGTTTTTCACCGATAACTTTCCCGGGGCACCCTTCAGATTCTATGACTTTGTCAATGGGGCCCCGAACAACGCTCCTAACGACACCAGCTCGATGAATGGGACTAGGGTCAAGGTCCTTGAATACGGAACCCGCGTGCAAATGATCTTGCAGAATACTGGGACGGTAACAACTGAGAATCACCCTATTCATCTTCACGGCTATAGCTTCTACGTTGTGGGTTATGGCGCAGGAAACTATAATCCGCAGACAGTAAATCTAAATTTAGTTGATCCACCATACATGAACACAATTGGAGTTCCAGTGGGTGGATGGGCCGCCATTCGATTTGTTGCTGACAATCCTGGTAAGACATTTATAAGCCAACATATCACTTGATTAAAAAAAAAAATTTATCCGAGTCCATTACTGCTATTTTTTTAAGAACTTCTACTTGACCAACCTTCTTAATTTTGTTATAGGTGTTTGGTTTATGCATTGTCACTTTGATATACACCAATCGTGGGGGTTAGGTACGGTTTTTATAGTGAAGAATGGGAAAGGGCACCTCGAGACTCTCCCTCATCCTCCAGCAGATCTGCCCCGCTGCTAGGGCCGTCAGATTTTTCAATACATAGCACATGAAGATGGATGGATGGATGTGATCTTTTGAATCATGGATTCTTTATCAGCTAGTGTAATATGCGTGGTCAATTTCTTTCAGATCATCAATTTCTGGGTGTAAAGAGGGGGGAAAAAAGAACCAATAAACTTCTCCATTTCCTTTCGCATTTGTATTTCTACAAGTATTTGGTGGTAATAAACCTCCTGTGACCTATTTTTTATGTTTTTCCATAAAAGAAAAAAAAAAATCATGCTAACCACACCAGGGGATGATACAGCAACCTATAATGTTTTTGACTGACCTGAAGGATTAAGGTAGAACAAACTAAATTATACATATAATAAAAATAAAATGGTATTTTCATGTAGAAATGATATAATTATAAATTTTGCTAATTTTTTTTAGTGCATCGATGGCAAAATTATAATTTTCAAGGTTTTTTTAATAAAAAAAATAAATATTCTTATATTTTTTTCTCTTTATACTTGATATTTTTATCATTTTACACTTGATCTATTTATCATCATTTTTTTTTCTTATCTTTATCTTTTTGTTATATATTTTTTTATTTTTCCTTTTTTTTACGAAAAAAATATTATTTTTTTATTTTTTATGCTTTAAATATTTATTATTCTATATATACTTCATCTATTTATATCAATTTTTTTGTTCTTATTTTTATTCTTTTTTAATTTTTTTTGAAAAATTATTATGCAAAAACTAAGAAAATAATATTTTACTGTAGCAATTTCAACATTGTTATATTCTTCTACAACATTAAAAATTAGTTTGAGATCTTACATGTTTTTACTAACATTCTATGTTTTATTACATGTAAGTATCAATTTTTTTAATTTACAGTTATATTTTTTACTTGATGTCAAAAAAACATGTTAATAATATCTATATATTAATTTTTTTATATTAAAAAAAAAATATTTGACCTACAGCGAGGTAAGTTGAATAAATATATTCACACTTTGTTTTTTTTACAGTTATTGGTACAGATGTTCTTAATGCATGCACAGACTTTTTAATTTTTTAGTTAGAATATTTTTTAAAAAAAAAATTGGTAAAAAAAAATATACCACCCCATGCGAAATGCTGGTGCAGTATACTGATATATTATGCAGTCAACTATGCAATTCCAAAACCACCACGCCTAATTCCCAAATTCAAACTATGGCAGACTCACATGATGTCACGCAAAAGCCAATCCAGTCAGTACGTCAAGAATCCAAGATGTTGGTAAGAAAGATGAGACAACTTCCACAAGTTGGGAATAGGAAACATACAGAGCTTTGAAGGAGGAAAAGAACCTTTCATGCTTGCAGATGAGATAATATGGCATTGAGAATATGACAAGATGCATTAACCTAATGAGTTCACATAAATAAGCAACTAAGAAACTGGCCCATCACACAATGATTAATGCAGATTGACAAGTCTATACAACAACCCCAAAAGAAACCTCACTCATTCAGGCTGATCTTAGCTATTATTATGGGGACGATTATGATTAGGACTAGAGCAGCAGGTACCGTGCACATGACAGTGAATCAACACAGAAACATTTGCCTGTGCAAGTCAAACACTATATGGAATGGGGTCCTGAACCTTTAACGAAAGGCGATGGCACCCTGATCATGAACTGTGTGATCCATGGTGTGTGGTTATTGGATTGCAGAGAGATCAAGGGATATCAATAAGAAAAAAGAGTAGATGTAATAGGAAATAAGATTGTACCTTGACTTGATGTACTTTCAGTTAGTCACTTGGTTGCATCCATTTGAACCAAACTTGACATTGTTATATCCTACAGTATCATAAAACAGCTTCATCAATTTAACATAGTTTTGGAAGCGTACAAGACACAAGATGCTACAAGAGATTTTAAGCTAAATCAAACTAGAGAAAAAAACATGCATGAAATGATTGCATATTTTCATGGCTCTCCAAATTCCTTGATTTGCAAGTGTTGAAATAAGAAACAATAAGCACAACATAGTTGCACTACTATATATATATGCATAAACTAATCAATTGTACCTCCTCCAGATAGAACAATCAGTACTCCAGCGTAGTACAATAAACTTGGAAGTACAATAAACTTGGAATGAAACATTGTACCGGTTCCGTAGAATGGTGAGAAAATATTTCAACCAGTTAGACGAGTAACAACTGAAAAAATCTTCATAGAAATAGAAACTTCCATTGAATATTGACGATTGGAAAGTACCAAGGAAACACATTTTTTTTCTTTTTTAATTAATATCCAGGAAAGGAGCGAGAGGGAGCTTAAACTCGAGACCTCCTGGTGGTATTGAACACTATCTAACAGTTGGAAAAGGAAACTCTAGAATAACAGGTTAAAGCCAGCAAACATGTTTTCCAGCTAACAGCTGACAAGATCTTTACCGCAGACAACGTAAATACAACCCAGGAATCATTTCCAGGGCTGGTACAACCACCTCTCATGCCCAGATAAACTTCAGGTAGTTGAAACAAAACTACGGGGACTATAAAGTCGAAGTGCAACACTGAGAATACAAGAGCAGTGCCTTTTTGCCCTGAACAGCAGGGAAGCACTAAAGCCTCTTACTCAAATGTGTATTCCACAATCCCAGTGGAGGTGAATTTAAGTTTCCTCTTTAAGATTGTTCCAATAGGCTGTCCCACATTCTCCTCGTATCTTTGAACCTAAGGAATGAGATGCACACTTAGGCAAGATGCTTTACATGGGAGGCTGGCAAACATCACATGATTCGTATCAGAGATTTCACATCCAAGTGGTAACTAAAACTCTTACATAGATATAAAGGTTATGTTCTAGTAACAGTTTTAAATCCAAGGGCCTGATCAGGGTTTTTTCACATTAAGATGACATTGAAGATTTTTCTAGCTAATACATCTTGGTCCTTTTATTGAAGGCAAAACAGATAATTATATAAAACTCATTCAAGCAAACATCAGCGGGTTCTTCTTTATTCTCTGCCACGTGTACAATTAATGGTTGCAAATTAGCAACTCTTTCTGTATGTAGATTTACGGATTGATCATCTCTGAATTCCAACACATTTCTCCGTTGGCACATCGTGACAAGGTGGACACTGTTCTCTGGTTACTCTTCAAATTCAAGTAGTCAACCTGTGAGTTGGATGGATTTTACGAAGACTAAAAGAAAAAATAAGTGGCATCAATTAATTCAATATTGCAGAAAGTTGAACCTGATCTGGATCTAAAACCAGCAGACAAAATGTGGCAACTGGGCCTGAAGAGGGGTCAAGAAAGAATTCGTTCAGAGATTGCTCACTTAGACAAGGAAGACCAGGATTAGGTCCCAAGTACTGCAGTCTTGATTTCAAAGAACTAGCAAACCATGATTTCTCTCTTTGCTGCACGATTGATTTAAAGAAATGAGCAAACTCTAAGCAGCTCCAGGTGAATGAAAGCATGAGAAATGGAAAAATCAATAACATAACACATCAGAAATCATTATCTTGAACTAACAAAAGCCTTATTTCAGCATACAACCACACGAACCATTCCTTACAAAAATTGGTTTTGCCATTTCTAACCAGAAAAGTCTTGCAGATATCATGTTGTTTTCAATTAATTCTGCAATGACAATAATATTAAGGTGAAGATAACAGGATGATACTGCTCTTCTATGATTCATGGGCTGCTGTTATAATGAAACTGAAGCATCGCATTAATGAAGATAATATTGTGTTTTCATTAAAGATTGATAGTAAAGTAATGCCATGAAATTGACAAATATTCTTTTTTTCTTTGTTGAAAGGGTGATGTTGCAACTTGCAGACAACGAGGTACATAGAGCTGGGAACCCCTCCCTTTTTACTTTCAAACAGCCACAACAACCCATGGGCAGGATTCAGCCCCAAATTTATGGTTCAAACATGCAGAGTCTTCAATTGAAGGCATTAAGAACTAACAAGATGAGAAATATGAGGGATTCAAATCCAAAGCAATCTTTTCATGATTGTCACAATTTGACAGGGTTGTTTACTTCAGTAATGTCATCTACACATACTAAAAACCACAACAAAAAATGGTTTCCCTCCATGTTTAAACTCTTCTTAGTGTCAGTACCAATTAATATATAGTTATATACCCTCTCATGCTAGCATCTCCTCTTAGATAGGTATCGTTACTCATTACCCTGTTTGTATCTTTCAAACTTAATTCTCCCTGGTGCATTGCACACAATCAAACTGCTTATAAAATTGTAATTTTCATGCAAGCATAAAACTATACGGAATATATCATGAGCCTCGACTTAACATTCAGCATGAGATGTCCTCTTCTCATGCCCAAGAATGGCGCATTACCATTTGACATCTACACTTAATATCAACTATATGTTTGGTAAGACATCTTGTAAGAAAATATGATAATAATGTAATGGACAGAGGAATGGAACCTGAAGCTTTTCCGGATCAGGACTGGACCCATCTATAACATCAACTCTTCCACTGATCCGGAATTGCTCCCAAGAGTCAGAAAAATACCAACATATCTACAACAAGTTGAGTTAAGTCGAAGTAAAACACTTTCCTATCAAAAAAATGAAGAACAACTAATTCTGAAATACAGGAGTTGCAGATTTATCATTACCTCGGCAAATGGACAATGCTTTAGTTCTTCAATCTGCATAGTCAAGTTTTTATTAATAAAAAAAATAGCACAAGACTTCATGTTTTCTCAGAGATGAAATAATGGATTATTCTTATCCAAATTCAAAAAAAAAAAAAAAAGAAGCGAAGAAACAAGCAAACCTTGCGTGTACGGAAATCTGTGTTGATTTGGATTCTATCGCTATTCTCTTCAAATCCTCTGTAAGAAAAAAAGCAGCAGCAGCAGCAGCAGCAAACAAACAGTCAGACAGAAAGAAACCTTCTTAAGAATTCATAGAAACAAATTTTCAAGATATAATAAAAGAATTAGGATGACCTGAAAACGACAGAGCGATTGGATGGTCTGCCATTACATCCAATCGTTGCCTGAAAGAAACAGTAACAGTATTAATAACTAATCAGCACAAAAATTATGAGTGGAGAGAGAGAGAGAGACGTGCATACAAATTGAAAGTAAGGAGAGTGCTTGAGGTGAGAGTTTGACTCTAATGCGCTTAGAAGAA